CCCGAAAAAACCCCCCTGCCAATCTAGACGCACTTTTCCGAAAATGCTTTTAACGGAAAACTTTTCCGTTAAAAGCATTTTCGGAAAATCATGCCAGTGTAGACGTAGCCCATATGTTTAATCTGTTTATTTGTATTTGTTCGACCGCCATAATGGGATTCCCGCCAGCTGTGGTAAACTGGCCAGGATATAGTGAAGCAGGCAATGTTTAGGGCACCTTTTCTAGCCCCTCCCCTAAGTCTATGGAGGTGAGCAGTGCGTTCCTAGAAAGGACTGCTCAGTCGCCCAGGTAGACGCCAGATTTCACTGCTGCTTCAGTCAGCGAGAAATAACCATTAAACCTGAGCCGCCTGCGTGCAGGTCCATGACTACAGCTCCCAGTGTGTCCACACCTGCTGTTTCGTCACTCGCCCATCGCCACAGGACTTTGAAGGTTGCGATAATGAGGATGGTAATAATGTGGTGTTGAGACTTGCGCGTGATTTGGATTTAAGTGAGGAAAAGTTGCGCAGTGTCAACCTCACTCTCTCTTCCCAATTCCCATCTGGGTCCAGTAGCAAGACGAAAGTCAAGACGGCTGAAGATGGGACTGGGCGCAGTGGATGACCAGGGCGTCTTCTGTGTCTTGTCCTGCTCTACGCGTTCCACAACACTTGCGGAGACTGCCTTCTTGACCGTTGGACCTTCCATTGGTCTCATCTACTCAATGTTTCATAACATAAGAACAGCCACACGGGGTCAGACCAAAGGTCCATCTAGCCCAGTATCCTGTCTGCCCACCATGGCCAATGCCAGATGCCCCAGAGGGAGTGAACAGAACAGGTAATCATCACATAATGCCTCCCCTGTCATCCATTTCCAGCCTCTGGCAAACAGAAGCTAGGGACACCATTCCTACCCATCCTATTTAATAGCCATTGATGGACCTAACCTCCATGAATTTATCTAATTCTTTTTTAAACCCTGTGAAGACCAGGACTTTTAACAACATCCTCTGGCAAGGAGTTCTCAGGTTGTGCACTGCATGAAGAAAAACGTCCTTTTGTTTGTTTTAAACCTACTATCTATTAATTTCATTTGGTGACTCCTAGTTCTTATGGGAACAAGTAAATAATTTTTCCTTATTCATCCCCCTGTACTCCTGTCAGTCATGATTTTATAGAGCTCTATCATATTCCCCCTTAGTCTTCTCTTTTAAGCTGAAAAGTCCCAGTCTTTTTAATTTCTCTTCATATGGGACCCATTCCAAACCCCATATCATTTTTGAATCATTTTCTGAATCTTTTCCAATGCCATTTTATCCTTTTTTTAAATGAGGCGACCACATCTGTACACAGTATTCAATATGTGGGCGTACCATGATTTCATATAGAGGCAATAAGATACTTTCTAATCCCTTTTTTCATTTCTATTTGGGGGCAAAACAAATGTCAGTAAGATGAAGAAAGACTAGAGAAAGCATTAAGTACCTTTAACTTCTCCCTCAATATTTGTGAAATATAAAGCAAGACCAGAGACATCAGCATATACAAAGCAGAGGAGGACAAAAATTTAGTATAACAATGAAAATAGACCCTGGGCAACCCAAACCATTTCCTGAGTAAACTTTGGGTGACTAAAACAAAAACTAAAAAATTGTTTTCCTTGATGTATGTTAAAGGCTTTTGACAACTTGAAAAAAAATGTATTTGTGGGATTTCCCCATGTACAAATGTTTCTCTAGCAACTTCAAAAGGCAGATCATGCCTGCTTCTTCCAAATTCAGCTATCACAGCATTTCAGACAATGAAAGATTCCTCAAAATAGTCATTTTACAGAAGTGCACCTGTAGGCAACTAACTTACTCGTAGCCGAAGTTTCCGGACTTTATTTATTTGGTCTGCCTTTGCCTCCATTCTTTTCACCAATGCCTCAAGTTCCCGCTCCAGGTCTTCCTTCAGAGCAACAGTTGGTGCTTCGTGGATTAGTTTTGCTAACTGCTGGTGATCACTTACACAGAAAGACAGAAAAAAAGCTTGGGCATGATTTTCTCAACTTTACGTTGTTTGTCCACTTGCCTAAGAAAAGACATGTCTAGAGAGCCATGCTATTAGTAACCAGATACACACTCAACATATTTACATAACAGAAATCTAAAGTTCTTGCTGATGAACACTGTCACTGTGGAATGCATACATGGTCCACTGCTGCACTTGGTAATTGATCAAATTAGTTAGATCTAAATCAGGCCTGGGCAAAATATTACCTATGGGCCAAATCGAGCCTACCAAGACACCAGATCCGGCCCACAGATGCAGCAAGGAACTCCAAGCAGGTCCCCTGCTTGCCTCGCCCCACATGCCACTCAGAAAAACAGCTGTTTCTCTTTCAAAACTGAGAGTCCTCAGTTGGGGGGAGAGGGGCTTCAGGCACTGCCCCCACCCCAGCACAATCCCATTGGCAGGTTTCTAGCTAGAAAACAGCCAGCGGAAGCTGCTTCTTTGAATAACAGGCAGCCACAAAGCACCATGCCCCTCCTCTGCAGCTTGTCATTATTCTCACATGCACATTGCCCTGCAGCCTATGCGGGGCAGAGCAGAGCAAGCTGCCTGGGAAAGGTCTCTCCTCCCTCCCCCCCCCCCCCCCCAGTCTAAATATTACTAAATTTAAAATTACATCTGTGGCCTCCTATAAGCACAGTCTTAACACTCAGTTCTGAGGACAAAGTCCTATTTCCCATTCTGCAATTTTCTTAGTTCATTTGCGTCAACTATTTCAGGTCTGTGCTCCTACTATGGATGGAGGTAAGACTAGTGAAGCAGTTTAGATCCTGACAACTAAAGGGCCATTTTTGCAGAAAGAATAGCAAGGTGCCCCCCATATAAAAGGGTAGTCACATTTAATGAGCTCACAGGGTGCACCATTTGGAACTGCTGCTTGTAAATACAAAGAGACATGCAGTTATGGAGTATTTAGTAACAAATCCAAATGTTAAACAACATCACAGGGGATAAAGGCTGCCACAATTGGGTAGAACTAAATACTGATCCACACCTGCGTACAAGTATACATTATCTTTGAATAAGGGGCTGCATAACTCACCCATCCCTTCAGAAAACTCAATACCAAACCAAAAGCATTGGCAGTCTAATGCATTCATAATTTAATCATAGGACTCACAAACTCATCTGCCCAAATTCATCCTGCAAAGTCAGCAGCACTTCAGAAAGTTCCTCCTGGGATGCAGAGGAGCCTGTCGAAAGAGATGGCTTTTTGCCTTTGCTGGCGAGCGACGAGTTACCATTCAGCTTCGGTGATGGAACATCATTGATCACATGACTGTTGCACAGAGCTTTAGAGTGTTGTTTCATTAGATGCAACACATTTTGTACATTGGCTCCAACAGAATGGCTGGGGCTAGTAGACTGAAGGGGAAAAGTAAAGTAGATGTGAACAGATCTCTCAACAACCCAGAGGGCTGTGCCCCATGCTCACCAACCCCCCTCTTTGTGGCCACTTTTGTGGCCAGAGAGCTTGAAAACATGATCATGTCATTCTGTTGCCCAGCAGGAAAAACATCTCACTCACACTCAGAGATATCTGAGTATGAGTGAATCAGTGCTTGACTAGCAGTCCTGAGAACAGGAGAAATTCTGAGCATGCCAGCTAAACTTCAGAGAAGACAGAACAAAGCAATGCAAGAAAGGATGGAGGGAAAAGTTAGAGGAAAATAGAATAGTTAAGTAGCTTGACCACTAGGTGTCATGAGAGCACCAAACCAGAGTCCTGTATTCTGAACTGTAAATGTACTGCAAATGTAAAATGCACACTGTTTATACACATTCAGAATTAACCCTTCTCACCTTTCCAGCTACAAATGGCACATCACCCAGACATAGCCTATAGTGGGGCTGTACATGGGTACGTCTTGCAAGATGGTGTTTCTAAGACAAGAGAAACTATAATTAGAAATGACACTGTCAAACATGAAAAACAACGAATAGTCTAGCAGCACATTAAAGAGTATCAAAACATGTAGATGGTATCATGAGCTTTTGTGGGTAAAACCCACTTCTTCAGATGGGACTTAGAAGTAGGATGTGCCCACGAAAGCTCACGATACTAAACATTTATATTAAGTCTCTACGGTGCTACAGAGCTACTCAAAATAAAAAAAAAAAAGTTACCGACTAATACTGCTACCCCTCTGAGACTCCAGTAAAAGGGATAGTCAGCTACCTGATCCTTCCCACCTACCCATCCATTTTGCTTCCTTGACCCTTCCTTCCTTATACAATTACAATGACAGCATGCTACCTTTTCTGGCTGCTGGGCTTTTTTCTTTGTTTTCTTTGGCTTTGGAGGAATGGACGGTGTTCCTGCCTGCAACAGTATTCGGTTAGTCTCCAGTCCTGTCTGAAGCTGTGAATGGAGTTAATGGTGGCAATTAGAATGTCTTAGAAAATAACCAAAAGGTAAAAAAAAACCAAAATAACCAAACCCTGACATCTGGGACTTGCCAGCCAACGAGCAATTTTTAGACCGAAAGCTCTTTGCTGCAGTGTCTGTCCATTACCACAGGTTTTTACATGCCTAGTAGAGTGTGTCTATGTGATTGAGGCCTCTAGCTATTGCTGCAGTATTAGTTAGATGTCATTCACTACTCTACATCTAGCCACGGGTTCCAAAACTCCATTGGTTGCTATACCCCCAGAAGTAGTTTACAAACTACTCTGGACTTCTCTGAATAGAGAATGGATGGAACATCAGATCTAGACAATGAATATCTAGATTCTGGCCCAATGAAGAATAAACAGTCACAATGACAGACTGAATCACGATCCACTTTCATGAAAGCAAATGTCAAACAATATTGCAGTCACAGGGTACGTCTAAACTACATGGCTCCGTCGACGGAGCCATGTAGTTTAGACGTACCCTGTGACTGCAATATTGTTTGACATTTGCTTTCATGAAAGTGGATCGTGATTCAGTCTGTCATTGTGACTGTTTATTCTTCATTGGGCCAGAATCTAGATATTCATTGTCTAGATCTGATGTTCCATCCATTCTCTATTCAGAGAAGTCCAGAGTAGTTTGTAAACTACTTCTGGGGGTATAGCAACCAATGGAGTTTTGGAACCCGTGGCTAGATGTAGAGTAGTGAATGACATCTAACTAATACTGCAGCAATAGCTAGAGGCCTCAATCACATAGACACACTCTACTAGGCATGTAAAAACCTGTGGTAATGGACAGACACTGCAGCAAAGAGCTTTCGCTTCCTTTACATGGCTGCTGACTTGTAAAAATATTAATCCTACCTATTCAGTTAATGATGCCACATCTCTGTGGACATCACAGTTCCTTCCACTCTCGTTGACTTGTGTTGCATAAATTTCACACTTCAGTGGAAAAAAAGAGGAGTGATCATTATGCAAATGGATCAATGTAAAAGGTTTAATTCTTTTCCTTGAAAGCTCTAAGAAATGGCTCTAGAAATTATTTTCCTTGAAAGCTCTAAGAAATGGCTTTAGAAATTATTTTCAGCCACCCTTCCCTATTTCGCAAGCAAATCTGCAGAGTTAATTGGAGACACACTTGATTCTTAAATCTTTCCACATACATCACTGTTGACATACAGCATTACCTTCCTATTCCTTGAGCACACATTTATTATAGTATCAAAGATGTACATAGCATCTACATTAAGAATGTCATTGGCTTAAGAGGTTTATAACCTCGTGTAGGCAATATTAATTTGATTGGTATATATTACTCCTTTTGACCTCTACTCATTGCTGGTTATTGGAAGGTGTTGACTCGGGTTTTTTTTCCTTGTTCTACTTAGTATATGTCGTTCCGCTCAAGAGATTTTTAAACTTAGAATTTTGGGATTCCCTGTTAACTGTGACTACATCTCCAGAAATTGCCAGTCCTACCAGCTTAACCTGGGCTCAAAGACAGCCCTGAATCCTCCCACACACACCATCACCATTAACAAGATGCAGGCCAAATTATGCGTTGAATTATAAGCATCAACTGTAAGAGACTTCAAATACAGTAGTATCTATTGTCACTGATGTTTATTTATTACAGCCTCCAAAAACATGTGAAAAGGTAATAATTCAGCCTTACCCTGAGTAAACCTGACCTGTCGAGCACCAAGGGTTAAACGAAAACCTTAGCTCTAACTTGGACACTGAGAAAATGTAAACATGAATTCTGATACAAATATGGAACCTCCAATAATGTCATTTTTACAGTCCCCTATCATGGGGGAGTACTACAGAATATAATTGTCAATAAACCAATAAGTAGACTATAGAAATCACTTTTAAAAAATTTGAATTCAATAGGAAAAAATATTTGTATCCATCCTAGAACAGACTTACAGTTCTCTGCAAAATGACCCAGGATGGGTCTAAAGACCTCAAGGAAAGCATTTTCTATTAACTTTTTCAGAGAAGAACAAAACCACCTCAGTTGACTCCTGTCCTGTGGTCTCTACCAAACGCTGGTGTTTTGGGACTTACACTTCAGTAACCATGGGAATGGCAGGCTGTTAAAGCATGCTGGGTATAGAAAGGCCTGTTTTTCTTAGTCTAGGGAGAAGAGGGTAGGATGTGTTGCAAATATCTGCCACTGTGGGGTATCAGTCCTAATCTTTCCAAGGGGAAAAGGCTTGAGGAAGAAGCATGTAAAAGCACGTGAAGACGGCTTGGAATGGAACTGGACAACAGACCATCTGGAAGCCTCAAATGAAGAAACATTCCACCCCGCTTAATGAGAGTGGACTATATAGCCCAGGGAGTTTGATAGCTGGAACTGAAAGCCATCCCATAAACTTGGTGTACTGGCCAGATCTGATTATGATAATTTGCAGCCTCATCATCCTCGCTGGAATCTGTCTGAAGGAACATCATGCTTTTTGAATGTGGTAAATTATATTTTACTATAAAAACATAGACACGCTCTTCTTGGAGAAATCCCAACATTTCACTCTTCCCCAATTCCCAGCCCTGCCAGAGAAAGTTTCCCACTATTTTATGCTTAAAAAAAGGGGGGGGGAGAAAGTGGTACATCTGATTCTACCATTAGCCTGAATCCAATGAGCTCTTTATTATATTACACATAATATAATGGCAGATGAGAACTGAGAACATGACTTCAGCTATTTAAATCCTTGAATTTAGCTGAACGGTTAATGAGAGGGCAAGCTATTTGCAGTATACAATAAAGTAGCAGAAAAGACTACTTGCTGGTTACCTCAGCTGCTTTCTCCTGCACAAGCTTCCTTGCATGTTCCTCCTCTTGGAGCTTCTGTTCCAGTTCTTTCATTTTTTTCTAATTGAAGTTTAATGAGAAAAATGTTACTGTTGGTTCCTTACCCAAACCACTGAAATCTTCAATAGGAACTTGAGCAAAATTAAAACTAATAGATAAATGAACTGTTTTAGATAGAGTGAAGACTCTCTTTAGATTCAGAATTGATGAGTCTCATTTTACTCTACAAGTACTGTGAAGCGGACCTGACTCTTTAAAATTGAACACACTGGATTTTCTTGTGTATTTCATTAAGACACTAATTACAATGTCTGAAAGTGTCCGACAGGAAAAAATGAGGTGACTGCCCTTCTTTAAAAATATATAGCTCAAATATTTTTCAGTCTTATTTGTTTTTACATTAAAATGTAGGTTTTGTCCAGTGTCTCAGGTGAAAGACAACTAAGGAACTAGCAAATTTTTACAAACTTTTACATATACAAACTAGAATGTAGATCTGAAACATGTTTTGGGTTTTACTTTTAACATCTGGAACTCAAATACTTCAAGCATTTACAATAATAGAGTTCTTTGAACACCCTGAGGACAAGTTAATGGCAAAGGTCAAAAATCACATAAGAGACATCTAAGGGGTCTTTTAGCAAAGTCAGAGATGACCAGACTTCACATTCCTGATATTTCTATGGGTAAAAAAAATTCTCTTAAAATTCTTCTGGGTATTCTTTATACGTCAAAAAGCAGAAAACAAAGCATATGTTTTCCTCTTTGCAGATCTTTCCTAGAATGAAAACTTGGCTTATTGCAATGAAGTCACAGCTTTGTGATGAGCATGGGAGGTGGTATATAAAACCATAGGGTGGACAGTAAAAAAGGCCCAGTGACTCTAGAACATGACCTAATCTTTCAGACTAATGATTAAACATAACACCCTAATATGATCCAAAAGAAATCAGAACGGTAGCCAGAACAGAAAAGCAAAAACCAGTTAGAAATGAAACATCAAAGCCTCTACAATCATCCAAACCTTAATTTTGAGAACATACAGCCATCACAATGCATGGAAGCCAGGATAGATCTCTGCAGATATTTGAAGGATGTAAACATCTAGGAGTAGGGGGTGTAAAATCCCATTTAATTGGTTAAACATATTACCAACCCAAAAAGGAGTTGGGGGGCGGGGGAGTTGCAAGGTTATTCTATGGGGAGGAGGCGCTGCAGTACTGCTGCCTTTACTTCTGTGCTGCTGCTATACTGGTGGTTCTGTTTTCTGCTCTGAAGGCAAAACCATCTCTAGCAACAGCATAGGAGTAAAGGTGACAGGATATGGTACTACCAGAGTTACTTCTGCAATGCTGCTGGTGGGATACTGCCTTCAGAGCTGGTTCCTTGACCTCCAAACATAGCTTTCTGGCCACCCAGCTCTGAAGGCAGCACAGAGCTCACCTAAAATCATCTTACAACCCTTCTCCCTGCAAATCCCTTTTGAATCAAGACCCCCGATTTGAAAAAAATCTTGGTTTCCCCTGCAAAATCAGTATAGTGCAAGCTGTGTTCCCTCTAACATTTTCTATCCTTGAGTGGGCTGAAATTTCTTATGTGCAACACCAACATTGAGGTAGCAGGTGGATGTGCACCAATACAAACAAACTTTTTATATACATATGCACACACACGTACGTATGTGTGTGGAGGAAAATATATTAAAGCAAGGGATAGTTAACAAGGAGCGATGCTTACAATATTTAATATGAACAAAAAGAACATTAACACTACCCTTGGAGTACATGTATCAACGTCCTTTCTAACAACTCAAGCTAGTAAACACACTAAAATGCATATCATCCACACAGCGCTCAGCTTTAAAATGCTAAACAAATCTAGGAGTCAACTGGAAATAGTATTTGCAAGAAGAGCATGACAATATTTAGTGACAATGGAAAGGAGAATAAAAGGCATTCACTAAGGCTTATACAGTTTCTCTGGGGAAAAGTAGAACCCCAGAACAAGTTAACACATGGCTTCAGGGTTTATAGATAGATGCGTGTTTCAAGGAGCTTGCAAATAAGGTTTCATCCTACAAAATAACTAGCATGACACCTAGTACTTGCTATTTCTGACTCAGAGCCAGAATTCTGCCACATAGCAAAGATCTGGCCTTAATGCAATACAATATACAGTAAACTTCTGATAATCCGGCACCTTTAGGACCCAGGGGGTGCCGGATTATCCGATATGCCGGACTATCAGAAGGGGGGACTATGAGGGGTCTGGAGTGGGGTGGGAGGGGATGCCACCCCAGACCCCTCATAGCCCCCCCTTACGATAGTCAGGGTCTGCCCCAGGAGTCCCTGATTTAGCCGCTGCTGGTCAGTTTCAGCAGCAGCTGAATCGGGGATGCCTGCAATAGAGTAG